CAAACGTTATTTTTTACATGTGTACTACTGAATGTATCTCCCATATGACTCACTTTACATTCATTATTCCATTCACCTCTCAAAACATAATTTATCAAAGTGTAAAACTACATCATTAAAAACTTTCTTTTGTCAATGCATACAGTATTCTTTAATTCACAAAGCTAATGTGTAAATTCCTTCTTTTTTTTTTTTTTTTGTCATCACTCACATTTTATTATTTAAATGTGGTCTACACATGGGTGTCCATCATTGGGTACATGCATTGCTGGATCTGTTTTCCTGAATTTCCAGTCGTGCTGCCCTAGTTAATGTTTCTGCTGCTATAACATCTATACTATTCACTGGGCCTGGATTCTGGAACATAATACATTTTTAGAGCGGGTCCCCCCACAGCCTGGCCCATTAATTACGTTTCACCATAGAGGACCTTATTGGGCCCCCCTTGTCACTGGGCCTTGGACAACATAAGAAGTTTGTTACCACTCAAACCAGAAAGGAACTTTTTCCTTTTGAACAACTGAAAGGAAAAACATTTAAATGCTAAGCTCACTAAAAGAGTCTAAAAAATGTCTAAGATTTTTTTTCCCTGTTTTAATTCTACTTGTCTAGTTGCTGCTACTGTTATCCTGTGCTTTTCAAATTCAACGTCACCAACATATGCTCTCAAAATATTGCTCCAATCATCTCTATCACAATGGGTGAAAAACAGTAAAATAACAAGTATAAAACATCATATCCACCGTGGCAAACTGTGGTTAAGCTTTTCTTGGAAAGCTGTTGTTCTTCTTGGAAGCTGTCATGTTTTAAAGCGCTATTGTAAATAGCCTAGAAATGTGGGTGACTTTAAACCATGTCCTTTCTCCCTGAACTTATATAGTGCTCAACATGTGGGTCCACCTTTTCTTTTTGTATGTTGTTTTTGCTTTATGTAAATATGATTTTATTCTTTTGTGAGTTTTAATTACGGTGGAGGGCATCCATCGACAAAGTGCATAGCTTTTAAATTTGCTGCAAGACCTTTACGCACTGACATATCATATTTGCTTATGCACTTGAGATAAATAAATTGTTAGAAATAAAAAAAATGTCCTCTGTAATTTTTGCACCTTCCAATTCAGAGAGGTCTAGCGCATCACTTATCACAATAGACCTAGAAACCAGACAATCATTGCAACTGGTTATTTTAGTTGCGCCAGTTAACTGAGATGCCAGTTGCAATTGAATGAAATCGTCAAAGCGAGTCAGCAGCATGATATGAAAGCAGTGCCGCTTTTACCGGATGAGCCCAGATACGCAGCCTTGCCATGTATAACGGAGAACGCTGCGATTGACCAGTTAGATTGAAGTATTCTAGCCTGGTTAAAACCAGACCATTCTCAGTTGTAACTGAGTTATGGTCTGGCAAAGCGTCATAGGCAAATCATTTCCAGAGGGGCGTGCACGGACGTCGCGGATAGACCTAAAACCAATCAGAGCGATGAAGGAGATGACGTATGCAGAGCGTACGAGTGTTGAAACATCTCCGAGTGTTGTTCTTTGCTCGTTTTTTAACAAAAAGGAAACGTTCAAATCGCTTAAAACAGACGCGATAGCTGATTCGAACGAGTGATGTTCGATGGTGGATATCCATCTTTGTAATGTAGGCTACAAAATATGCTTCGAAATCCCAGCGCTGTCGTCATCGTGTAAAGCCCGCCCCAACGTTTCTGATTGGTGCCTCGATTTCGGCGGATTGGAAATGAGCTTGAATGAGCTCTTTGCCAGACTAACTTTCAGAGCAAATCTAAATTTGCTGGAAATTGTCTGGGTTTTCCCAGGCTAGAAGTATTCCAGAGAATGTTGAAAATGACATTGTTTCATTTTAAACTCAATGGTCATAGACACAATGTGGACTGTTCAGCACTTTTACATGGAAAAACAATGGAAAAGTAGTTCAGTGGAATGCAAAAAAAAAAAAAGCATCCGTGTGAACTACCCCGTAGCTCTTACATTTACAAGGTAAAACTGTATAAACCCCCTGTGAGCAGATTGCAGGACTATCATAAACGAAATGTTCAGAACATTAGCCATTATTAGGACAGTTGGGAGCAGGTGGCATTCTGTTAGTCGGTGGACCCGTTAACAAGATTGCCACGCTGCAGAATCGATAACAGGAAATAACACTTTTAAACCTTGGGCCTATTGAGTAAAGCAAGACATCTTTTTAAATCAATAGACCATATTAAAGTTCGATTTGATTGGATAACACAGTCTTGAATTGCTATTCTAGCAGGTTCTCTTTTAATGCCAGTATTATATAAACTAAAATGATTTGTCAATCATGTAAACTCTGTTTTGTTTGCAAAATGGTGAAGATCATGTGGGGAAAACAAACATGACATCTTTTTAAACATTTATTTTCTGTTGCAGTCACACACATTACCTTCAGAGCTCTAAAGCTGATGTAAAACCTAACCACCAGACCAAACACTGCATATAAAACCATCAACTCAACCTCCTAGTTGATATAAACACAAACAGGACATACCAGTCTGAAGGCACACACTGACATTGGCACATACACTAATTTCTGATAAAAACAATTAAAATAAATGACGTAATACCCCTAACCCTTACTGGGTAAATGGGTTTTAAAAAATGACATAGAGGTTAAAGGACACCGCAGCAACTCAGTAACCTGACAAACATTGGCAGCACACTTACCAATCTGATTAAACCTGTGTAGACACCTCTCATTTGTATTTGCTTTTAAAAATCTGAGCTTGTTTTAGATCATAGTGGAATCAACCTGTGCAGTGTCTCTGGCGAATTTTTACTGCAGTGATAGCAGACTGGAAGCAGGGCAGCGTTCCTCACATCGACACAAACAACCTCCAGTTGTGCAGATACTTAAAGTTGAGCTAACATGATTTTTCTCGAAGGCTACTTCTGGTCGCAACTGTTGCGTTAAACTGATTGTGGCTCCAGAGGAAAACATGATTTCATTTTCCTGTGGGCAATAAAAGAACGTTTCCCTCAGTACATAGATGCCAAAGAAAATAAAGGAGGGTCAAGCAGTATTGAAGACTTATATTTCCTCGCTATTTTACCGATACGAGTCAGATCATTTTCCGCAAAAGCCAACCTGTTTAGCCCACATGAAAATGCCTGTTATAATCTACTTGATCAAGAAAAGATGGTAATTACACATATTTTCAATATAAGACTATCCTGTGATTTATCTTGTTAGCATATGAAGAATAGAATGGATATGGTTTCTGAATTGGGTCAAAATCACATTTATAGCTAAACTTACCATTAAAAGGTGTTTTGCAGCAGGTTGTCTAATTTTAAGGCATAGAATGCATTTTTATTTAAAAAACAAAAAAAACATTGACCTGCACAAAACTATAGAAGCTTGTTTCCGCCACAGAATTTTTTTTTTTTTTAAGATAATTGCGACTTTTTCTCACAATTCTGGCTTTATTTCTCAGAATTGAGATATATAGTCAGAATTGCGTGGTATAAAGTCGCAATTGCGTGCTATAAAATCAGAATTGCGAGATATAAACTCACAATTGCGCTATAAAGTCAGAATTACGAGATATAAACTAACAATTGCGTGTTATAAAGTCAGAATTGCGAGATATAAACTCAAAATTGCGTTATAAAGTCAGAATTGCGAGATATAAACTTACAATTGCGAGATATAAACTCACAATCGCAAGAAATAAACTCGCAATTCTGACTTTTTTTCTTGCAATTTCGAGTTTATATCTCGCAATTTTGACATCTTTTCTCAGAATTGTTAGATATAAACTCGCAATTCCAAGTTATAAAGTCCATTTCTAAGAAAAAACAGACAGAATTGCGAGTTTATCTCACAATTCTGACTTTATAACACAATTGCGACTTTATATCATGCAATCCTGACATTTTAACTCACAATTGCAACTTTATATCACGCAATTCGGACTTTATAACACACAATTGCGACTTTATATCATGCAATCCTGACATTTTAACTCGCAATTGCGACTTTATTTCACGCAATTCTGACATTTTAACTCACAATTGCGACTTTATTTCACGCAATTCAAAGATAAAAAGTCAGAATTGCGAGATATAAACTCGCAATTGTGAGAAAAAAAGTCGCAATTACCTTTTCTTTTTTTTTATTCTGTCGTGGAAACAAACTTCCATGCGAACCTCTGATTGGACAATTAATAAATATTTATACTCTTGATAAAACCCCATTAATTTTGTATATGCTTCAAGCATTTAAGATTTAAGGAGCTTAATTTAAGGCCATGTTTCATTTCACAGCCAGTTCAGTTCTTTAAAAGAAGATCGATAACAAATTTGCTAGAAGCAAAAATAAATAAATAAATTGAAAAAACTGGAACTGGAAAAAAAGATAGAAGCAATAGAGCAATATTGAGGCATTCATTACAAATGAATGTATTAGCATTCCAGCACATTCAAAGGACTTACTAAAATATATAAATATACATATATACTATATACACTTTAAAAGCAAAATATAATCGAAAGTACCTAAAGTACCTGGATGCTTTACAGCAATAATCTACTTTTCTTTATTTAACTAAAATGAAACAGCTTGTCACCATGTGTAATCAAAATCTAACTGTGGCAAATCTTTGATAGTACAGTATATAATTTTCAGCGGACATCACGCAAGTCACACAAACAGAATGTGACAGTAGGACTGGTTGACATTCTGCTTGATTATCTAATGCTGTCAGACCTTTTGCTTTTTCACAAAAATGAAAGGACTGCGTATATTTTTAAATGTGTTAAGCTTACGTTCACTCAAATGCAAGATAACAGTAAAATCTCAGTTTGGCCTCTCAAACGTCTAAATGAAAACAACAGCAATGCAATCAAATAATGTACCAGATTCAATCGATACCAAACGTAAAAATTAAATTGGCTTGGTTTTAATTGGCCTATAATGTCCTGTAGCTGTTCTCTATAATATACCGGTTCTGTATGTAGTTTGAACTGATTATGATACGAATGGCAACATTTTAAGGCCCATTTCAAGGTTTATCTGACTCAAATGTACCTTCACTAACGTTTACGCCTATGAAAAGACTTCAACAGGACCGATAGATATGAAGACCACACTTTCCTACCACCACAGGCAAACAATAAATATCCAATACATATCTGTCCATTAAGTTATACTGAATGAATCTTTCATTGTTTATCTTCTCAACTGCCCTTTCAGACTTTTGAATTCGAAAAAATGATCATTGTTGTGTCGAATACAAGTGTAGTTAAGATTTCCCTTTGTCCTCCTCTCTCAAATCCCGCGTTTTGAATCGAATACAAGTGTTATCCATTTCGATAAGGCTGTTGGTTAGATATTTCACCTCTCCCACATTGAGAACAAACAGCGACAAGAACAACTTTGGTTTGCTTCAGAATAACATGACCATCACAACCACAGGACAGCATGGGACAGATATGGGACATTCTTACAAATCAGCATTGTGGTTTTCTTTAAAGTGGTTTCCTCTTTCATACAACAAAATAGATACTCTGGGTGACATACATGGCTGAGGGCTTTGAACTGATGAGGCCTATTCAGGGCTCTCAGGATCAAAATCGTCGCCCATTTGGTAGCTGGAGCCCTGGGTGGAGTAGGAACGGGTCTTCATTGAGCAGTTAGAGTCCATTAGAATGGCCTGAAAAAGACAGATATAAGAAACATCACCTCACAGCCTAGTATCTAGAGTGATCTTACTCTACATACAAACAAAGCAAATATACTGAGGGTTTACATAGACTTACTTGGCATATACAGTATATATTTACACAAGAATTATATATGCAGGAGACCAGGGGCGTAGCAAGCTTTTCAAAAGTGTGGGGGATGGATGTGGTCAGGGCTGTAAAACTATGGTGTGTTGACTTCTGTCCCTCTAGGGGGTTTCGGGGGTATGCTCCCCCGAAAGAAAAATTTGTACATTTTAAGGTTAAATGCATCAATCTGGTGCACTTTGAGAGCTCAAAATTAAGAGCTTCAACCGGCTTCGACCCATGAACTGTGCACACTGAACAAAGAAAAAGCATTGACTTGTACCTAAAGAGGGCTCAAACATCTTTTTAGTTATGATATAGAGTCTCAGTCTACATTACATTATCACTGGTGTTTTAGAATGCCGAACATTTATTATAATAATATAATAATGATTTATATCATTATTCCTATGATTGAAAATCCATATAGCCTATAAATGTATGCTACAGTATAAATTTAAATTAATATTTCAAAAGTATAGAATAGGAAAATTACAATAGAGACAATGTATCACACACTCGAATGTTGATTATAGATTTGTGTGCACAAAAGACCAGAAACTATGCATAAAGTTTTTAGAGCTTCATTCTGAAATCACTTCCATCTTATGTGTATAATGTAAAATGCTAATAATCCACTGTACACCTGCAGTTATGAAGGACCAGGAGTGCCCCCCCCCCCCCCCCCCCCAAAAGAAAATCTGATAAATTATAATAAATGATTATATTTAAAAAAAAATCCAAATTGACAAATAAATAAATTAATAATCAAATAAATATATATTAAATAAATTAATAAAAATAAAATGTCATTGTAGCTATTTATTTGTCAATTTGAAAAAATTTTATTCACATTTTAATTTTATATAAGTGGGACTCTGTAAATCTGATTGGCTAAAGCTTCCGCAGGTTTAAGATGAACAGAACTTTTACAGGACAAATAAATAGTAAAGTATTTAACAACATAAACATAACATTACTGTCTCCATCAACGATACTATTATTTAATACTCGATACAACCACTTGTGCATGACATCATCAATTGTGGGTGGGGCTCGTCTCATTCAATATGCCCCTGATAGTGAGCGATGGAGGGTTTATTGCACTGTGATTGAATGAAGCTTTGATAAAGAGTGCGTAAGCACAGAGGCGTACAGATCTGGCTTGTGTGTGTGTGTGCATGTTAGTGCTCTTCAGGAGCAGTGTAGTGCTCCTCTTGAGAGAGAAAGACCATGATGCTTGGCTTTGATCACGCAGCATTTGAGGGCAAACGCACGAGTCTGTTCGGATCAGCATCACTCTTTGATCTTAGCTTAAGGGCAGTTTTTATTTGTATCTATTATGTAACATAATTTCCTGTTGCAGTCATATTCTATCAGGTCAGTGACTTGAAGTTAGGGATGAAATCAAAAGGAAAGCATATGTGAATGCCAGATAGAGAGTGAAATTACGATTATTATTTGGAATAATACTAATGATAGTAATGAAGAGAATATCAGAGATTATTTGAGAAAACCCAAATAAACCATATCAAAGATTGCACTTGCTTGTACTTGGTTTCATACGATACATTATTTACACTTAATTATTTATTATATAAGCTGACACTGAAACAGTTGGACTGTTTTCACCAGAATCTACTAATAAATGCAGTGTAATGTTTGTTTTAGCTTATCTTAAAAACCCACCAAAACTGCCCATGTGTTAAAGGCAACATGGATGCTTTTTACTTTAATGCATTGTCCTGGAGTTTTTGTAAATTATTCATTGGTGCACGGTAATGTTTGTCTTTGTCATATTAAAACGAAATATAATAACTTGCTCTTCCTATGAAATTACGTACTGTTTTTACTGACTTTTTGAGTATGTTGGCTATTTAAACATTGTATTAACAAACATGCATTTGTTGTGGCTCCATTCTGTAACAGCCATCATCTAATAAATTCCCTTTAGATAAAATTCAGTCCCTAACTTTTTTTCTCATTGAATATCCTGTTTCACTTTGAAATATGTTACATTTTGGGAGTTTTACTCGGAAATATGGAAACGGAAAATAAGCATATCAGCTAACACTGCTTAAATATGTGCGTTTAAAAGTGAGTAGATTGGAATGAATGTAATTTGGAATTGATGAATGACATATAGTGGGGTCTGACCATCTTTTCCTCATTGGCAGGAGGATTTCGCAGGAAGTAACAGAGAGGAGCAAATAGGATGTCTATAACACCAATGATGGTCATGAGCCAGGGGAAGCCGATGCTCCGCGCAATCGCTCCGCCAGCGGATGGACCTACACAACAGACACGAGTGTTAAATTCCAAGTTGAAATAAAAATGAATTAATGAAAACTAATGAAATCATTTATGGTGGATTGAACATAATTAAAATTAATTTTCATTTGGTTTATTACCTAAAGCGAACCCCATGCAGAAGGCAACATCAGCAATGGCGTAGACACTACCGTACACAGACACGTGCCTCAGATCTACTAGGTAACCCATGATAGGCATCATCGAAGAGTCCACCATACCTGCAAACAACAAGATATAGACTTTTTCTTACAGTGGGTCTGATGTCACAGAAAATACAAATTATACAGTATTATCAGCATAACAAGTTTAGAATCTCGGCTTTTCAGTGTAGTTTAAATTTGATATTTTAAATAAAGTAAAAATTTAAAAGGAGAAACACCACTAAGTAAGTTATATTAATAGAGAAAATGTTATGCCCACCTGGAGGGCAAAACAAGGCTTTTCCTCCATTGCCCACCAGTCATTTTTACCAGGTTTGTACTTAGTACTAATGCAGTAAGACAGTGATATTTAAAGACCAAATTCAATATACACATTTTTGGATGATGAATACTATGTACAGGTGTGGTAGATTTTTCCCTAAACCTAACTACGTAACTGGGTCTCGTCTCTAAATCGACGTCCCCTGGGTCTCGTCTCCTAATCGACGTCCCTTAACGTCCACGACGTTTAATATATCTGGGTCTCCTAACTGACTTGCTGCGCAGCATATATGACAGACAGACTTCAGCAAATGTCCTCTAAATGCTTTAATCACGGCCGGGAGAGTTCTCGAGCAATTCTCAGAGAATCTCCCCCAAGAAGAAGCGTTAAGCATGGCCGGGGGATCTCAGACAAATTCCATTGAGAATCCCACCAGTTAACACGGATACAAAAGTTTTTATAGAATAGGGAGGTATGGCAAAATTACATGAATTTGATTGGTTCTTCATATGCAAACCCTTCTGTTATTAGGTAAAGCAAACTTTGTTTTACTGATTACTTCATTGTTAATCACAAGGTTCTAACCTAGTCATCTGTCAACCTAGTCATTAATTTCCCATATATGTTATTTTTACACTCAACAGGGGTATGGCAACATAGGCCAACAACATTCAAAAACACAGAACAGAACGTTTTAGCACATGGTGTTTCAAAGTGTTAGTATGTTAGATAAGATTAGATGTTAGAAACATGGTTAGTTTAATATTCAGTTTAAAATTTCCATCACACAGGCAAGCAGATGAACCCAGAGTATAATCGCAACGCAGTTTGTCATTGTTTTTCCATAGAAAACCATTATAAAGAAAACATTTAACCATTTAGCTAATTGCACTCATATTCTAGGCTCATCTGCTCACCTGTTTATAGAATGCATTATAAATAAGGTGTATTCTGAATTTAATCTTTTAATATCACTGTTGTAGTTCATTAAGGCACTTTAAGGGTTTTTAAGGGGCAGGTGCTGGATCATAACAAGTGCCCAAACCTTGCATTTTGTCCACATATTTGTATTTGTATTCTTCTGAGAAGTGATCTAAATATTCGTGGTTTGAAACAGATGGAAAATTGAGCGGGCCGGTGCTGCAGTTCTATGGATGTTTTGCCCTCCAGGTCTCAGTGCCCGTCACGTGACTGAAAACTATGAATACTTGTATTAAGACTCACCTATTGCGAATCCAACTCCAAAGTTAGGCACAATGAGTCCATATATGTCTTTTGCAAAAGGCACCTGTAAGACAATTAGAAGAGCTCAATACAGGGCGTACCGCATATTTCTTTAACGTATTATTGATTATGTGAAAACACCAAATACAGTAAAACATTATGTAGAGCATCAGAACAGGGTTTCTCCATAAGCAAAACTCCAAATGTGTACTTGACTCTTATCTGAACTTGTTTTCCAGACTAATCTGATAAACATCTATAAGAGAACAGACTGTCTTCCTACTAAGCAGGATGTGTCCAGGGCAAAGAAAGTCAAAGCTCTTATTTCAAAATAAACCTTCTTTCCAGCCCTCAACAAAGCTAGTGGGCAACAAAATATTTTAGGCCTCTGTAATCCACAACACTGTTAAAAATACAGAAAGATAGGGAGTTGAAATATTCATAAGCGTTGTGTGTTCTCTGAGAAAAGTTAATCTCGACATGGATTTAGTCCAGAAGAACTTACACAGAGAATACTGACTCCAACCAGCAGCATCCCTATAAGTGAGCACAGCCATCTAAAGAGAGGGAGGGAGAGAGAGAAAGAGAGAGAGAGAGAGACTATAACAAAGATAGTTTGTTTGACCCTTTGTTTGACACCGACGTTCGAAATGTACAGTAAATATACACTCACCGGCCACTTTATTAGGTACACCTGTCCAACTGCTCGTTAACACTTAATTTCTAAGCAGCCAATCACATGGCGGCAACTCAGTGCATTTAGGCATGTAGACATGGTCAAGACAATCTCCTGCAGTTCAAACCGAGCATCAGTATGGGGAAGAAAGTTGATTTGAGTGACTTTGAACGTGGCATGATTGTTGGTGCCAGAAGGGCTGGTCTGAGTATTTCAGAAACTGCTAATCTACTGGGATTTTCACGCACAACCATCTCTAGGGTTTACAGAGAATGGTCCGAAAAAGAAAAAACATCCAGTGAGCGGCAGTTCTGTGGGCGGAAATGCCTTGTTGATGCCAGAGGTCAGAGGAGAATGGCCAGACTGGTTCGAGCTGATAGAAGGGCAACAGTGACTGAAATAACCACTCGTTACAACCGAGGTATGCAGCAAAGCATTTGTGAAGCCACAACACGCACAACCTTGAGGCGGATGGGCTACAACAGCAGAAGACTCCACCGGGTACCACTCATCTCCACTACAAATAGGAAAAAGAGGCTACAATTTGCAAGAGCTCACCAAAATTGAACAGTTGAAGACTGGAAAAATGTTGCCTGGTCTGATGAGTCTCGATTTCTGTTGAGACATTCAGATGTTAGAGTCAGAATTTGGCGTAAACAGAATGAGAACATGGAACCATCATGCCTTGTTACCACTGTGCAGGCTGGTGGTGGTGGTGTAATGGTGTGGGGGATGTTTTCCTGGCACACTTTAGGCCCCTTAGTGCCAATTGGGCATCGTTTAAATGCCACGGCCTACCTGAGCATTGTTTCTGACCATGTCCATCCCTTTATGGCCACCATGTACCCATCCTCTGATGGCTACTTCCACCATGTCACAAAGCTCTAATCATTTCAAATTGGTTTCTTGAACATGACAATGAGTTCACTGTACTAAAATGGCCTCCACAGTCACCAGATCTCAACCCAATAGAGCATCTTTGGGATGTGGTGGAACGGGAGATTCGCATCATGGATGTGCAGCCGACAAATCTGCGGCAACTGTGTGATGCCATCATGTCAATATGGACCAAACTCCCTGAGGAATGCTTCCAGCACCTTGTTTAATCTATGCCACGAAGAATTGAGGCAGTTCTGAAGGCAAAAGGGGGTCCAACCCGTTACTAGCATGGGGTACCTAATAAAGTGGCCGGTGAGTGTATTTTATAATGTGACAAAAGATTTTTGTTTCAAATAAATGCTGTTCTCCTGAGCATTCTATTCATCAAAGCATCCTGAACAAATGTATCTTGTCTCCACATAAATATAAAGCAGCACAGCTATTTTCAACATTAATAACTGTTTCTTGAGTACCAAATCAGCATATTATTGTAGAATGTCTTCTGAAGGATCATGTGACACTGAAGACTGGAGCAAGGATGCAGAAAATTCAGCTTTGCATCACAGGAATAAATTACATTTTTAATATATATTTAAATAGAAAACAATCATTTTTAAATTCCAATAATATTTCTCAATATTACTGTTTTAACAGAATTCTTGATCAAATAAATGAATAACAATTCTTTCAAAAACATTAAATAAATCGGTAACACTTTACAATAATGTTCATTAGTTAATGTATTATGTTAATGTTAGTTAATAAAAATCCAGCTGTTCATTGTATGTTCATGTTAGTTCACAGTGCATTAACTAATGTTAACAGATACAACCTCTGATTTTAATAATGTATTAGTAAATGTTGAAATTAACATTAACTAAGACTATTAAATGCTGTAGAAGTATTGTTCATTCTTAGTTCATGTTAACTAAGGTAGTTAACTAATGAACCTTATTGTAAAGTGATACCAATAAAGCTTACTTGAACGGTAATATATATATATACATACAATTTTAATATTTTTTTTTGCAAGAAATATTTATGGCCAATAATTTTCTCAATTCAGTCGCCATTGGCAGGTGTGACCCTGCAGACAAGACACATTATGAAAATGGTAAACATGTACACACCTCTTATAAGTTCTTATGGTCCATATTAAGCGTATATAGTGTATAGTGTATACAATAAATAAACAAACAGTATGCTGAGACTAATGCTTAAAAACACAAATACAAAACCTGGTGACAGAAACTCATTTAGAGCTGTTTCAAAACAGAGGAAGCTGATATCAGAGCGGAGGAAGATAAGGAAAGAGAAGTAGGGGAAAAAACACATTAATTTCCCTCTCCTACCTCCCCATTTTGTGAGCCAAAACGGCGAAGATGTTGGTCCCTATTAGATATGAGATGCTGGCTGGCACGAATGCAACCCCTAAAAGGAGAGAGGAGAGAGAGAGAAAGAGCTCAGATAAGACGACACAATATCAGTTTGATCTCAAAGCTGCTGTTCGTCTCACAGACGCTGTTATGAAGCTGCTTTTTTCATTCTCCCGCTCCTTCTCTTTCATTAGCTTTCTTGCTTTTCCCTTGCCTGCCAATGACACCTCAATATCCTGCCAGACCAAAGACACTCCCTTGCCAGCCCTCACTCTCCCTGGTTCTCTGCTTTCTTTTCTCTCTTTCTCTTTCTCTTTATTATCTGTCAAATCTTCGTAAACAGCAGGAAAACCATGAAGAAACCCAGAAGACGCTAACTATTTAAATTGTATTTTACAGTCTGGAGTGTGAAGGGTTCCATAAGGGGAACAAGAGTTTACTGCTTTTAGTACTTTTTCAGTAACACTTTCCAGTAAGGTTTCATTTGTTAACAACAGTTAACTGCATTAGTTAACATGAACTAAGAATGAACAATACTTCTACAGCATTTATTAATCATTTACTAATACAATATTAAAATTCAAAGTCATATCAGGTAACTAATGCACTGTGAACAAACACGGACATTGTTATTAACTAATATTAACAAAGGAATGCTGTACAAATATACTGTATTGATCATTGTTAGGTTATGTTAGTTAATGCATCAATGTTAACAATTGAGACCTTGATGTATAGTGTTACCAGGTTGTTGTTTTTTAACACAATTCTGGAAGTCTGTGGAAAGAATTTGTGAGTTTCTAGATAATTTCTGGCAGATAATCCCTTCACTCACAAAGCAGGAGAGATACTTAAACAATTTATTTTTCTTAATACTTATTATTAGCAATTATGTAAATCTCACTTTAAGAAATTGGCGTCATAAATAAATAAATGAATGAATGAATAAAAAATGTGCAATAAGAAAATTACATTTTTGTACATTTCGCATATTTGCAATATTATTGTAATGACAAAAAATAGAAACATTTCACCCTAAAATTCTCATTACCACATTAAACCTTTAATTACCATAAAAACAATAATGAAAATTTGCATTAATAAAGTTCGGTAAAATAAATACTAATTTGATGTTTACCTACAACAGTAAATTTACAATATAACATTATCTTTTCCATTATACCAGGGTTTCCAAACTGGGGTTCGTAAGTGAACTGCAGGGGGTTTATGAGTTGAATAAAAGCTAATAATTAATTATACATTTAAAATAAATAAATACATTTAAATGAATTATTTTTAAAATATAAAATATAATCAAAATAAAATATTTTTTTTCTGTTTTTGTAATTTTTTCCTAAATAACCACTTGGACATTTTCCTTGATATTCACTCTCTTTAGCTTGTGCCCTGCTAACTTAACATCAATGTACTAATACATAACACATACTTTGTCCATCTTTCACTGTAAATTATGACCTATTTTCCATCTTCCAAAAGCGACAATTTCTTTGGAAGGACAGGAATTGAAGAAATGTGTAAGTGTGTACATTAACAAGAGGCAGATTCTCCAACCTAGCTGCCATTTCCTAGGACACATCGTCTCCATCATCCAGATGGGCAGAGCCGGCTCCAGCATAGCAATGGCCATGTTAGCAAAACAAATGGAACCTGAAAAAGAAAATGAGGAGGGTAAGTGGATTCATCCTCTGAAGAATTCTCTCTTTCTGTCCCCCCTCCATCAGAGCCCATTCTTGTCCTTTCTCAGATATAATAAACAGCATCATCTTGCCCCTGCACTCAGGCCACTGTAATTGGAGAAGAGGGGAGGCAGAGACAAACACAGATGTGTTTCTTGACCACTTCTCTCTCTCTCTCTCTCTCTCTCTCTCTCTCTCTCTCTCTCTTTCTCACATACACACACACACACACACACACACACTTGACACTTTCTTATCCTTCTCTCACAGAAAGATGACCCTCTTTATTGTGTCACAACCCCTAAAGCACAACCAGTGTCACACATGCGGGCAAATAATTGACTAAATCTTTCTTTACATGTTTCCAAAAACACACATTCTTAACAAAAACATTCACCTTTGAACAGATAATATGAATGTAAGCATAAAGTGTGGTTTATGCATAGATACTAAGGTTTGCAATTTTTATAATATTCCTAACAGTAGGAATGAACCGTTTATTTGTGTTTACTGGCCTGACCTGCTGCGATGAGGATGTAGGGATCCTTCATGAGGGTAAATAGTGCAGTTCCTTTTTGGTTCTGGTAAAAATAAATAAAAACAAATATATTTTCATTAAAAAACAGTTTTCGAAAATTACAAAGACATTTCCTTGAACATCAATGTTCCAATGGAAAACACCCATGGGGGAAAACAAATAGAGTCAACGTCAAACTTTCTGGTTTACATAGTCACCCATTTATTCCTATGGGGAAAAACAAAAGAAATGTTCCATAGATTTTTGCTATTCTGTATCTAAATTGCAGAATACCACACAAAACTTCCTACAATGTTTTTTTTTTAATTAAAGCCAAATATGTTGTTTTAACATGTCTACTTTCTTTATTAATTTATTAGGATATATATTATTTATTTATTTGGGGTTGATCTCATTCCATTAACAATCCATGCCTAAGGTCAGGCACTTTTTTTAATAAAGGGATGTACTTCAGTGCATATAATGCCATTTGAGAAACATCACCCTAGTCACCACAGCGGGTCCAATGGAAATGGGCTACTTGAGATCACACAAAACAATATATATAATTCCCTATACGCAGTCTGTTCCCTTTATGACACCTCTAAGCGATTAGTGAAAAGATCACAGACAACTTTTTGAGTGACAAAATATACCAGCCTTAACTCTCCATATTGATGTGGGAATTGTGGCATCTCTAGTGCAAAAGCCAAGGCTACATTTACTGAAGGGAGTGAAAGATTGCAGAAATAACTTTAGCTATGACTGTTTTGTCAAAAGAAAAATAAAGCTTATCAGTTAGACATTTTTTTTTCAACATGTGATTAAAAGATGACGTGTATAATTTTCTTCAATGTTAAAATAGCTCTTTCATCAGAGCGTAATTCATAGAGACAATGAGTAAACCATTTGTAGGTTGATTTGAAACATAGCTTTGTTTGTTTAATCATCCTAACAGCGACCCTGGTTAAACCATTGGCATGAATTTGGTGGTGGGCGTTACTATTTGTTTGTTCAACCAATGGCAGATGGGGACCGTTAGGCAATCTATTTGAAAACAATCAGTCATTATGATGTTAGTGACACACTTCAACTTTAAATGTGACAATATATTTAGGATATTTCTATCATAACAGTGATTTGGAAGAAATGTCCGTAGTGACTTTTCCGGAATAGTCACCAGGCAACGACTGACAAGTACTCCCCTCATTAAATCAGCACTTCTTTACTCCACTTCAGTGCACATACTGCTCCTCTGTGGACATGTCATCCCACTCAAAACACCCTGTCACATTCAGTTGTACTGCTCTGCGAATGGTCTCATTAATGATCACAGGCCCCAAACAATTAGTTGTCAGTCACTGCTATTCTTCCCCATAATCCTGTTGGATATTGACACTTGAGGGGGCTACTGGTTTAATGATCTGTCTTATCATATCTATTACCTGATGTCCAAGCATTATTGATTTGATTGATTATTTGAGATGACAGGTCCATCACCTTCTGGCCATAACTGTGCTATGATGACAAAAGCAACTGACCTTTTAACAAATGTCACTCAGATGTTTTGAAAATATAAACATTACGTCACATAATTGACCATGTGAGAGCTTTTCTTTGTCAGTGTATATTAAATTAGTTGAGAGCCTGCAGAACCTGCAGAAGGACGTTTGCACTCTAATCTTTTTGTTCTTTTCCAGAGCAAAATGTGTAGCTTCACTTGACTTGATTACTCTTTTACATCACTAACTAACAGATATGTTACATAGCAACATTTGCCTTTAGTTTTCTGTTTAAGCTTATTTATTGCTGAAAAACAATGGGTTAAATTCTTCATTCCTCATGAAAGAAAGATGACCAAAAAAAAAAACAGATCACCCAAAGAAAAGTAGCTACACAAACACACACACACACACACACACACACACACACACACACACACACACACACACACACACACACACACACTGTCTGTAGGGGCACTTGGGGTCTCCGTAGTAACTGATACCCATCAACACCACTGATCAAAGTCAGACATGCTGTGATTGGATCAGCCACTCAGATGTACAATTCCCATTACTGTGACGCAAACCAAGGCACACATACACATTACTCCTAATACACTGACCCTCTACACACATTGCTTACAACATGCAGTACAATCTACACAGACATACACTGTAATCCATATAATCCATGATATTGAGGTTTAAAAATACCCAGCATGAGAGACCCAAACTCTCCTTGCAAATCATTCCTGTTACTGATAAGATTAGAGCAATCACAGTACGAAAAGCACATTATCACCAAAGCTTCTCCAATTTTGTGCCCACAAGAGGAATACCATGTAAAGATTCAGTGGGCATCTTGTTGAGGTTACATTTCCCCATTAAGGTTATAAACATCAGCACTTATAAAACTGAGCCCAAGTCATGATTAATAAATAGGCTGTGGTGATCTATTGCTAAGTCATAGTAAGTCTCTTGCTCCGGATATTAGCCCAATTAAAGACATTTTGAATCCCAAAATATCAATGTAGATAGTGTTTTAACAGTGGAGTTTTAAATCCAAGTATTGACACCTAAACACACATACTTAATTTTCTCTCCCACAAATCCTTCCAAATGCAGAGCTTGACCTTTAGGTGATTGTTTACCTAATACTATAAAGTACATCACTGCTTAACCTTCAAAAACTAGTGTTGAAAAACAGATGGTTAGATCAGATCAGGAAAGAAGGTAATGTACTCACCTCTGGTTCAACTTTCGAAGGCTGAAGCACAAATAGCTGCAGAGCTGCTCATGAAAATGAGGGGAAAACGCACATGTCAGATATGAAGCAAATATTGTTGAGCATCAGAAACTCCGTTACAATGAGTTTCTGTCACCAGCATTTAATTCCACATGTGTATCACAATAACATGAAGGTTTGCGACTGATTCCGTCATTCCCATTGTTTTGAAATGTTGGAGAGATTGATTCACTCACCTCCATCAAGCACCGCCAGCACTGCCAGGATAAGGAAAGGAGCCGTCTTACCGACAAACTCATACATGACACTGCCAAACGGAGGGCCAACTACACAACATACACATACAGTATATATTAGTCAAGATTAATGGCTCACAGACTGCAAGCACTGCACTTCAAACTTAGAATCTTTACTTTGAAAACGTTGACGTTGCCAGTATGCTTTGAATTATCAGATGCCACAAATCCAATACTAATTGCTCTGCAGAACAGGTTACATAATCAAGGTTAGCAAACCACAGTAATAAAAAATAAAGTGTTCTGCAGGAACACACCCATTTTGAGTCTGAACTATCTGGATGAATAGTTTAATAGGTTTTAAAAAAAATTATTGTGCTCCATTTATTCAGTTGGACTTGATTATGGTACAGTATGTGCGCACTTTAATGACGACAGACACATTTAATCACAGTTTTGCTCTTATCCAGTGGATCAAATACATTTTTAGCGATTTACTTGCCATTATGAATAAAACAATGATCTATCAAGGATTAAACATCCTGTAATAGTGGTTAAAGCATGACACCATTAACAGGAAGGACCAGGTTCAGGCCCCACTCAGGGCATTTCTTCTGACCGCTGCTCCTTTAAAGAGGGCACTTAAAGTTAACTCACAATTTTTAACTCAGAGGCACTTAATGCATAACCCCCAACTTAAAGGACAAGTTCGGTATTTTACACTTAAAGCCCTGTTTCAAGATCGTTTCTGATGAAATTGAACGGTTAAGATTAAAATTTGACTCACGTTATACTCACCGAGTGGTCAGGGGTGTTCACTGATTTCCAACAGGTTTTATCGTAGTTTTTGTCCAAGTCAAGTCAAATGGAGTTGTTCAAAAACTACGATAAAACCTGTTGGAAATCAGTGAACACCCCTGACCACTCGGTGAGTTTAACGTCTTTGTAAACTAAAGTTTAATGCGTTTTAGGAAGGATTGTTTCTGTGCACCTATGCAACCATTGTGGAGGTGGGGGGGTGCAACTACAGAAACCGACATTTCTCGGGACAGCAGCATGTGTCCAAATTTTAATCTTAACCATTCTATTTCATCAGAAACGATCTTGAAACAGTGTAAAATACCAAACTTGTCCTTTAACATATCTCTTTTTTTTCTCTGTATGTGCTCAAAGGAGTAAGATTAGAATTAGGACTCTATCACAATCTCCAGTGGTACCTGTGCAAACCAAGTATGGCAGAATATGGATCCTAAACATACAGTACACACCCAAAACTCCCATGGCTAGTCCTCCCAGAGCAATTCCTATAGCATTTCCTCTTTCCTCATCATCGGTGTAAACACTTGCCAGCATCCCCATACCTGCATAACGACACAGAAAAAGTTACAGAGGGTAAAGGTCAGCCACAAAGGGCAAAATGTCCTGTAGCTTACTTCAAGAGAGATGGAAACTTAAAGAGATTAATAAAAATATTTTTGATTTCTTTTGCTTTTTCACATTTTTCTGCCAGCAAATGCTCATTTTGGGTGTAAGTTTTGAGTTCTGTGTTCAGACTTTTTTAAAAGATTGAGGCAAAATTGATTCCTCACGATGTCAGCCCTTTAAATTCATAAAATAAACTCAATAAATGATGATCCGTACAATGAAAGAACTACTCAGGAGTTGCAAGAGTCGGTTATAGTGTAATCTAGATCCAAGGCTGTACACATCTTTCAATGGAAGCGGGGTCCATTGTACACCGGCACCTGAACACCATAACATTAACAGTGGCTTTATGCATGCAGAGTTCTGAGAACATCAAAGTCAAATGCAATTTAGTGCACTCAGGTTTACAAATTGTGCACTAAATAAGGTATCATAAGACATTGTAGCTTTTGACAGCATCCTTTTGAAATCTAATGTAATGTTGCACAGAATCTGTTACCTGCCACAGAAGAACAGGAAGAGCCGACACCTTGTAGAGATCTGGCCAAAAACAGCAACGTATAGCTCGAGGAAAACGCAAACACTTCACACAGAGTAAAACACAGACAGAAGAAAGAGGAAAAGAAGATTTATTATAGAAATATAACACACCGGATTTAAAATCATGCATTGCATAAATATATGGCATCTTCTCCACCCTTTTCGTAAAGACACTTAGATGTGAGATTGATGTTAAAAACAACACTAGAAATTGTATGTACTCACTGAGGGTAGAAAGAAACATGATGCAGAAACCAGCAAACATTGGGATCTGGTATCCTATTCTGCAATTACAGATGAGAAATGACATTTTAACATTTTTTTGACCACAAACATTGAACTTGAAGTGAGGAAGCATATTTCAGTGCTGGCATCTCTCATAAGTAAAATTAAGATGTTATTATATTAAATTATAAATATTGTTTAGTTTTTTCGTTTTTTGCCTCTGGTTCACATCTTTTGAGTTAATTTAACACTTTGTGTATCACTAATAGTGTTGTACATTGCTACAAAATATTACAGCTGACTGATCCCAGGAGTTTGCAAAGCTCTAGTGGGATCTGTTCAATGTATCGGTGCTGAATTAAACTGGATTGGCCAAATCTGAGCATGTGGAGAAGAGGTGACAGGGCATGCATGAGTGATCACACAACTGCTGGTCGCTGAACAGCGGCAGAAAAAGAATTGCACTGCAATATTCGCTTTACTTACACTCCATTTACACTCACTGCACACACAATCATGCAATCTCATGCTCCTTTTGAAAGAAATGCTATTTGCTATACTTTCAAAGTTAAATGTGTTTTTTGCCATAACACACCTGTTAGTCAGGGGCCCTATGAAGGGGTTAGTGATTAGCTGTACTGTTGCTTTAGAGGCAAACAACAGACCCACTCTCACATTCTCGTTCAAAAGCTGGTCATCTGCTTTGGGGCAGTCAGACCCATTTTGAGGGGGTGTCCCAAAAGTAGGGGCCGGGGTCATTGGGCCAGCATTGCTCATCTGCGGGGTGAAGCCTGTCAGGTGTGTTGTGTTATCGTACAATGACACAATGCTCTGGAAGGTGCCAGATGGGGAAAGAGGGGACATGGAGTTATTCCGGACCACCTGAGCGGCCTCGTCATCCACGGTGTACAGGTAGCTTGGAATAATAGGCACTACAGAGAGAAAAGATAATAGATAATAACAACCATATTAGAAATTAAACCGATTGACATTACCGATTTGTTAAAACATGGTCTTAAATTATATCCTATAATACTTTTGAGGTTTCACAGTAGCCTAAGTAATTCAACTTTGTTGTACTCTTAAAAACGTAGCCTAGTATTCAGGAAATTACTTTACTTTATTAATCAGTTTTAGACAGCTTGAAACGCTGTTTGCCAACGATAACCTACCATTTGCCTGAAAAAGTGAAGTGCAACGATTTATCTAGCTGTGTTAAACCACATTTGACCTTTCAGGTGCGTCCGTTAAATGCGTTTGACATTATCCTGTGTAAATAAATAACCCACGGCCACAGGGACACCGTGTGCGATAACGCTCGAAAGACTCCTCATTCAACACTTGTGCCAAAGAGGACAGGTTCAGTTTTCGCCTGGTTCCATCTGTATGTACACAAACATCATATTCAACGTTCGTTCCCGTTTCTTGGCTCCCGGACGTGAGAACAAACACAGACAGTTTAGCGCGCGTCACTGTCACATTTAATGAGAGAGCGCGCGCGGATGGAGCAGTGGCAGCGCTCGAGGACATGATCCCTTAATTCAGATCAACTGCTGCCACTGATGCAGCCGACAATTTACACTTTACAATGGGAAACAAACGTTTAGTATAGATAAACGCATTTTATTTTCTATCATTAGCGTATTAGCAGATTTATCATTTTAATTTTGATGCATTTTTTCGAGCAAATAAAGTTTTTGAAATAATTTAAATCAAACAATTCATTTAAATTAGTACCGCAAAATTGCTTTAAAATGAATTATTAAAGTAATAAAAAAATATATTTATTTATTTTAGAAGACCCACCCTAATTTATAGAGAAATAACTGATAGTTTTAATGGCGTTATTTTATTTCTATCCACTGAGAATTATGAGTTGGTTTTGCCCAGTTCTCTATTTTGGCAAAGAAAAAGAAAAACAGACGTGCAGTAGGCTATTTAACATTTGTATACGTTTGAGTTTCGCTTCGATTCACAATTTTACAATGTACAATTTTACAATAACAATGCATATATCAAATTAAATTGTAAGGCACGTGAATAGCCTTTTACAGATATTTTTTATTCATTGTGTCAGTAGACTAATAAGCCTATGTGATCATATATTTGATCACAAAAAGCAGCGTTTGCCTAGAGTGGTCCCAGTGAGGGATGTTGACTTTGCATCATATGTGTGCCTTCACATGTAACAGGTGTGAGCAACAGTACTTACCGACCACCGTCAACAGCATGTTGTCCAACAGCAAAGCAATGAAAACGATGAACAGAATCAGCCTCCGAGACTGCCTTTCTTCTCTTAGCCATGTTAATAAACTAAAATCTCTAAGAGCATCAAATAATCCCATTTTTATTAAATCCAATTGCCAGAGAGCGAGCAAGAGATCCTGCAACAGCAAGAAAACGACTGTCAAAAATCATCGAAACATAGAAAAATAGGCTGTTTAGTGATAGGCTACTGTGAAGATGTAACTTCAGGGGATGATTCCTAATATGAGATAAATATGGCAAATATCAAAGTAAAAATAAAATACGTTAAAAAATTATGCTCTGAAGCTTTCTGAAAACAATAAACTACCAACAATATTGTTTTCTTTCTTTGTCATGCTTTTTCTAAGTCTAAATATTATAATGAATAATACATTCAGTGTGGTTTTAATTCTTACCTTATGAGCACATTTGCATTGAGCTTTGCAGACAGATCCCGGGTGAAAGGCACGCTGGATGGATGCGTTGGTTGCTCGACTGCTGTTTGACGTCACGCTGTTTCACAGAGAACTCAAATGGGCTGTGCTGCTGTGCCACGGACGAATAAACCGTCACACAAAAAGAAGAAAGGCGGGAGCACTTTATTATTTAGCCTATTATAACTTCTACTTCATTTCATATCAACATAGCCTATGCTTGAAATCTTTTGAAAGTTCTATAGTTCTTTAAACAAGTGGCGCTCACCGCATCTGGACGTCATGGGTTGAGCTTGACCTAGTCCAGCACCTCTGCTCTGTGTGAATCTAATGGGCAGAGAGGGACAGACAGAGTTAGGGTGGGGTTAGGGTGTGGTTGGACCTTCTAGCTCCACCTAATACGCCCAAATTACATCCAGAGAGTATAGGAGCTATATCAAGGCTATATTATGGTCATATTAATATGAGGCAAAAAGTCCCCACGGTCGTACTTTAAGATTGCGATGATGTTGTTTTAGCCAGCTTGACTAGCGTTAATAAGTTATTTACAGAGGGAAATTTGCAAACTGTTGATGACATTAGAATCGGTTGGATATCAAGTTGTTTTTACGCATTTGGGTGAAATTAGCAGCCTTCTCTTCTTTCAACAGTTTTACAACAGCGTCATCTTGTGGCGTAGGATGATAATGGGATGTTTTACATTTGCATTTGAAAGATGTTTTTATCTAATTTGTCTTACAGAGGAAAGTTGTATTTTCTATGATCATATGTGTTGATAGGACACATGATTGCTCAAACTAGCAATAAGAGTTCGATTCCTAAGGAATGCATAAACTGAACAAATCTGTACCTTGAATGCAATGCAAGTCATTTTGGATAAAAGCATCTGCCAAATGCATACATGTCAATGTGTTTCTTGCGAATAAATCCTTTGACTTTGGTGCAGTTAGCACCAACTGAGGAAAATCACATCCTTTATTAGGGCTATGCTTCAAGAGAGATGGATACAGATAGCTAGGGCTATTTTTGCAAACAGGAAAAGCAACTCATCAAATGGCACAGAAAGATTAATTTATTCACTTGGGTTCAATGTGACTGATCAGTGGATAAGATTAAATTTCACAGGCAATGTATTACATATGCTAAATCATTCATTTACTAGATTTTGTATTAGTAAATAAATTAATTAGAGAAAGGTGATGCATTGTGTCACGGGTCTGTCACGGATGATGGTGCAGGATGAAGGAGAGGCTGACACAAAGACTCCAATTCAAACATTTACTTATATAATCAAAACTCAGATACAGAATGACGGTCATACGGAAACACTCAAGCTTTACACCATGTAACATAGACGAGAACCGACAAAGACAGACTGAACAGAAGAAACTAAATACAGAGACAAATGAACCATAATGATGTGAAGACAGGTGACACAGATGATGATAACGAGGAACAGGCTGGTAAGTGAGGGAGTGAGTTCAGGTGTGGAGACAAGGAGGATTCTGGGTAGTGTAGTGCAGACAAGGACAGACAGGTGCAGACGAGGACTGTGACACATTGATCAGAGGTGAAACATATTACATTCTTTATTATTTGGCATTAAATAAACAAACACAAACTGGACTATATCATCATATTTTTGTCAGATATATTATGAATAGATATATAGGGTTATAAATGTCAGGAATAAATGGATTTACTAAGTGACTTACAAGTGCATTTCTGATAAGTTACAAAAAGTAAACAATGTCTCGTGCAATTTTCCTAATAATATAAACATCGAAGTGACACTTAGAGGCCAGTCTCTTTTTTTGGGGCTCAAATAGTAAACAGGAGTGCATTCATCATTCTGAGCCTATTTCTACTATACATGTTTATCACAGTTTTATACTGCAGCACGACTGTGGTCCATTCCCATTCAACCCACTAAATCAAACTGGCAGTGAAAGACATTACCATCTTGTGCTGAGAGTGGTTTTGCTTTCCTGTAGTAATTTCATGTGCCATTAGCAAAGCCACAAAAACCCACTCCCTTCAGTTTAGGTCTTTGTGTATTCCTATCTTGCCCATACTAAGAAACTTTATGCACCGCCTGTAACAGCTAATAATTTGTGATTGGCCGAGTTTGAAGGCCATACTCATGATGGCCATGCCCATGATAATGAACAAAAAGGTAACCATGAAGTACTTTGGGTGTTCAGGCACAATATCACCAAAGCCAATGGTGGTCAAGGTGATGAAGGTAAAGTAAAAGGCATCAAAGTGGTCCATCTGTGTCTCCCAGTATCTCAAAATGTGACTGCAGACCACCATGTATGCAAACACCACCAGCAAGATGACCAGCAGAGGGACGTTAAAGCGATCCATCTTCTCTCCGATGCCGGTGAATAACTTGGAGCTGTTTATTGGGGAATCCATACGGTCAAGGTCTGGGCATGAGAAGGATTTTGTCATAGAGTCCTTGACCCTGAAGCTCTCCTTAAAAATAATGCGGTCAAAGGTCTCTCTGTTGTTACGAAGCTGTAAGGATGTGCGTCTGAAGGAAGACTGGGTTCTTATCACCTGCTCAATGTTCATTGTCTCATGCACCACGACATGGTTGAACGTATAGGTGCTGTCAGTATCATCACCTTGCACCTGTTGGGGAGGTGTTGACTTTTCATGCCTTTGAAGGCTCCATGAGCGATGTACCATACATCGGCTTAAGAACAGGCTGAGGCGAGTGTACGCTTTAGAGAGGAGAACAGCTAAGATATCGCCCACATCTGAGATGACCAGCAGCATGAGAGGGATGCCCACCATCGCATACAGCATACAAGCCACCTTCCCTTCATGGGTCACTGGATACATTCGTCCATAACCTGTTATACAAAAAAAAAAAAAAAACAGAGCACTGCAGGACTGAGAGTTAGAAATGACTTTTCTTCCATAATTTCACTCATTAGACAACACGTTTCAGTACTGCCACCTGCTGAAGGTCTTTATCAGTGCATGAGTAATGCAATTGCAGTGCAAATACATACAACAACACAAATAATAGTAATATTATATTCTTAAGTGCATTATTATTATCACTATTATTGATAATAAAATAATATTATTATCGATAATATTAACAGTTGTTGTTATTATTATTGTTGTTATTATTAATTGTACATTACATAATTTTAATTAGTAATTATTTTTTATTATTAATTACATTATCATTATTATTATTTAAATAATGTGATGGCCTAAAAAGTGGTTCTCATATGGCAATAAATTAGTTAAGATTTTAATGAGGTATTTTCAGTATGTTACATGATTGCTATATTTTGTTCTATCGAGTATTTTTCTATGAAAAAAAGTAAGTTTAAGTTCCCCATTCTGCATGCAGTCACATAAATCCCTCTTCAAAGCAGGGACACACAGTGTGTGCACCTCTTGCACAAAATTACACTATTTGGAAACTCTCCCCAAAGTTCAATAACCATGCACGTTTTTCTGTCCCTTTTTGTCCAAGTATCAAAGCCAAATAAATTCAAACCAATTGAAAATATTAAGTTGTTCAACCTGGAAAAGAATCTGTAATCATTTTGTCAGAGGATAAATAGGTCTTATTGTTACAGTTGCAGTTGACATCATCACCTACCTTTTTTCAGCAGAACAAGTGTAAGAGCTGCTGATGTACAAAAAGAGTAAGACAGAGAAAGAGAAATGAACCCATTCAACTCATCAGTCTCAGCTGCTTAAAAAAAAAACAATATTCATTAAGGTTAGCTGCTGAGATAACCAAAGATACGCCCTTCCTGGATAACATAATGGACATCCACAGCAACAGACTGCTGCGTTTGGCACTTTTGCATAATGCTTTTCTGTAAGATGTCCTGAAAGATAGAAGTTTACATTCAGTTAATATCTAAGCTGTGGTTAGCTGTGATTTACAATTAGGGTTGAAAGGGAGAGAGATTCCACAGTCGTGAGTTTAAGAACAAAAATGTGCCACTGATAGATAAAAAAAAAGTGCTGTTTCCATGTGATTCTGTATAATAAATCATGATTTTACATAATGGTTTATTGGAAAAGGTTTCACTTGTTTTGGATTAGCCTGTAAATCATTTGTGCATAATGCAGAACTCTGCCCCATCTGTATTGCTTGAAAAGTGTCTGAAACTTGTGTTTCCCATCTATGGTCACAATATTTTGATTATTCTAGGGACTTTATTAGATAGGAAAATGTAGATGATAAACTGTAGTATGTACTTGTTGATAAACTGTTCTCTTCATTTTTTCCTCAATAACATGCATCCTATGAACATACACTTACTGTATGGTGGCTACATGTCATTCCTTTAATAACTTAATGACAATTTAAATGTAATTATATGGGCTATCAATATTTGTGTTTAATATTCAATCCGTAACGGGATTGTGAGATCTTGATCATAAATTTCTATATATGCTCGTCTGGCAGTCTAAGTGCATAATGGACCATAAATAACCTAATTATACAAAAACCTAATGTATGATCTACATCCTTTATGGTTTTTGTCCATTGCATGAACACTGCACCACACGCAAAATATCTTTTTAGTGTCTTAGACCCTTAGACCCATCATAGGGGTCTCATCCAATTTACAGTGTAAAATTTACAATCACTGATTTTAATGGATATGGAAACACATTTCTTAATGAAAAGAGTCAAAAGTAAAGCGTAATCCTTAACTCATGTTAATGTTCCCACACTGTAAAAAAAAATTGTTGAATCTTGTAGCTATAACTTGTAAAAAAAATTAATGAGTTAAAGCAATGTAAAAACATTTGTTGTCATCACTTATTGATCATATAATTTTTACATTGCATATTCTGCTGTTATTCGGCATATACTTCATTTAGGAAAATAACAATTTTCTTTCCTGGTGACACCTGTTTTTTGTCTTATATGGTTAGGCTGGTTACTGAGGGCAACAGAGCATGTTGTGTGTGCTGAAAAGAGATACAGCCAAAGGTCAGAACTTCTCATGCAAATAACAAACTCAATGGTGCATTAAATTCAATGGCAGTTTTATACAAACATACAGACTTAAAATATCTTGGAAAACTTTACAAACTTTGAAGTCCCAGAAAAATAACTACTCACCTAAAGTAGTGAACACTGTACAGCAGAAGAAAAGAGAAGTATAGAAGTTCCATGTCTGCCCCTTGTCATCATTGAATTCATTCAAAATATTTCTTATCGACTCTTCCCGTGTTGAGGTATCTAATTCATAAAAAGAAATTCATCTTGAACTTAAAATAATAAATTAAAATTAATACATTATTTAAAAAGTAATAGCCTGGCCTATATAAATATTTACATTGCAAGTGTGTATAATTC